AAATTCATGCTCGGCCTGAAATGTTCTTGTGTTCTGTGAAAATGTACGTTTTTTTGATACTGCCAGAAGACAACTGGATTTTATTATACAGTGCCTTTTAGGTTTTAATTTACTCATTTTAGGCATGTATTTTCATCGATTACAGTAATCCATCCGCTCTGCCTCCTGTTTTAAAAAAAAAAATAATACAGGAATAATGTTAGATTGTCACAGACCATAACTTCAGTGGTTTAAATTAATTTCAGCTGATGTAACTTGGCGATGCATTATGTTGCTGTTGTAGCTCTTGGCTTTTCCCACCCCACGGAGAAGCCGTTCCCCGGAGGCTGCGATTTAATCTTGGCTCCTTTTGGCTGAGGAGGAGACGGATCTGCGGGAGGAGAAGGGGTTTGTGGAGGATCAGCCAGGAGATGGCAGTGGAGAAAGCAGTGCTGAGGAGAAGGATCTGGGGGTCCTGGTGGACAGGGAACTCTCCATGAGCCAGCAATGGGCCCTTGAGGCCAATGGGATCCTGGGCTGCGGAGGGAAGAGTGTGGCCAGGAGGTGGAGGGAGGTCATTCTCCCCCTCTGCTCTGCGCTGGGGAGGCCACAACTGGAATCCTGCCTCCAGTGCTGGGCTCCCCAGTTCCAGAGAGACAGGGAACTGCTGGAGAGAGTCCAGCGTAGGGCAACAGAGATGATGGAGGGATTGGAGCATCTCCCTGGTGAGGAAAGGCTGAGAGAGCTGGGGCTCTTCACCCTGGAGAAGAGAAGGCTGAGGGGAGACCTTATCAATGCTGACAAGGATCTAAAGGGTGGCTTGAAGGAGGATGGATCCGGACTCTTTTCAGTGGTGCCCAGTGACAGGACAAGAGGTAACGGGCACAAACCTCAATGTAAGAAGTTCCACCTAAACATGAGGAGGAACTTCTTCACTCTGAGGGTGGCAGAGCCCTGGCAGAGGCTGCCCAGGGAGGTGGTGGAGTCTCCTTCTCTGGAGACATTCAAACCCGCTTGGACACGTTCCTGTGGGACCTGCTCTGGGTGGCCCTGCTCTGGCAGGGGGTTGGACTGGATGGTCTCCAGAGGTCCCTTCCAACCCCATGGGATCTTGTGATTCTGTGAGATGGAACTCGTTTCCCTGGGAAAGAGTGGGATTTCCAGCTGGATGAGTGTGAGGTGCTTATGAAGGGGCTGTGGTGATTGAGAGCGTCATCTCGCTCCGCTCACCCGCGTCCTGGTGGGGGGGGAGCAGCCGATGCCGCTGACCTGGAGTGCATGGAGATAGTTGGAATTATCTTCTTCACTTGTGCCACCTCAGCAGAAGCTTATCCCACCTGATAAAAAGCCCTGTTTACTGATTTCTGCATGAAACACAGACATACCCACAGAACATAGCAAGTACTTGGACTCCTGAGGCTGGTGACGACTCGGGTGAGTCCTCTGTTCTTCCACTGAATACAAAACTGACAGGAGGAACTCGGGGACCCCTCAGCCTGGGCTGGTGGTGGCCCACACTGAGCAGAGCAGGCACTTTGTGTCAGGAGACAGGGCGACTCACAGCAGGAGATGTGTGGGGGGGGTCACCCTGTGTGGTGAAATAATGAATGGAGTTCGCTGTCTTCCTGCTTGTTGGTTCTGGAGGCTTTTCCCTAAAATTGGCCCTATAAATATTACTCCGCCACCAAAACTTCACTGCTGTAGAAGAAATGCTGTTTGTTGGAGAGCACCGTGGTGGGACGGTGCGAGGTGAGGAGCTCTAAGTGACATTTCCTCCCCCAGGTGCCGCAGGGATTCGCTCCACTCCCCTTGTGGGCGAAGGAGGGCTTGGGTTTTACTCCCATCTTCCCCAAAATACCTATTTCGGACCATCGGTGCCAGCTTGAGGAGCTCTGGTGGGGGCTACTGAACCTCAACCCACCTTCCTTGGTGTGGATGGAAAGAAAGCAAAGGCGGGGGCCAGGATGGACAGGGGGCTACGTGGCCATTGGGGGCTTGGGGTTGCAATCTGTTTGGTTTTTTTTTTTTGTGAAAAAA